TTTGGAAGGACTTCTTTGAGGTGACTTTGCTGGACTTTTTGAAGGGCTCTTGGCTGGGTCAGACTTGAGAACTATGTCCTGGATGAGAGGCAGCAAGGTGGGAGTAGCTGGGGTGGCATGGATTGTTTTTGAAATTAGGGATATTTGAGGGGAGAGCTTGTTTTGTTATATATATATTAGTTTAATATTGTATTCTTTTTCTATATATTGTATTGCCTTTTATTTAGCTTTTGGGGGAAGGACAGCATACAAGTAATAAACACTAAAACACTGCCCTGTGGATGGAGTTCACATCTAATGGCTACCAACATGTAAAGTGATTCATTCAGGGAATTAATGGGCAGGATCTCCCCTGGGAGGCCAGTCTGAGGAGGAAAGGAGGCCAGGAGCATTTTAAAGACATTTTACTGTTGGTGCAGAAACAAACCACCCTAATGTGCAGGAAGGCTAGCAAGTATGGCAGAAGACCAGTTGGGCTTAACAGGGAGCTCTTCAGTGAGCTGAAACATAAAAATGAAGTTTGGAAGAAGTGGAAACTTGGACAAATGACTAGTAAAAGAGTATTGCTTGAGTACAGAAGGATGAAATCAGGAAGGCCAAAGTGCAGTTTGAGTTGGCAGATGCAATTGCAAAGCTTTTGACTCTTATCTTTGAAAACTCGTGGTGATCAGGAGAGGTCTCAGATGATTAGAAAAGGGCAAATATAGTGCCTGCCTTTAAGAAAGGGAAGAAGGTTGAACAGGGAAATTACAGACTGGTAAGCCTTACCTCAGTCCATGGAAAAATAATGGGTGCAGGTCCTTAAGAAATTGGTTTCTAAGCACTTGGATGAGAAGATGATTAACAGGGATCCTGATTTTCGCTCTTTAAAAACTCATATATTCTTTGATAAAAATTACAAATTCTCTGATTAAACCCCCCAAATCCTCATTTTTCTGTGATTAAAATGAAATACCACTGTATATATAAGTATCAGTTGACCACAATGTTTTACTGATATATTTACAATTCTAAAACAAATTGGAAGCCTACCAGTGCCTCAATCACTAAAATAAACTAAATTCTAATTACCTATACATTTTGGCATTTGATTTTGCATCTCTTATCATGGAAAAATCAGAGCTTCCCTTGTGCCCATTGCTCACCAGGACACGGGGTCAGCTATAGTAGTCTCTCCCCACTGCTTTGTGGCACTGAGCAGCCGTGATGTTCTGGTGCCCTGTCCATGCCATTGCCTGTCACTCCCCACCCATGACCCACACCCTTTTAGCCCTGTCAGAAGGGCCCCCAGCTGCTAGGGCTGTGGGGTGAGGGATCCAGATCTGCAATCTCCAGCCCCACCAGCAGCACCGAAACCCTGGCTACCACCTGTGGGAGGTGATGATTGCTGTGGCTGGAGCAGAACCCAGAGCCAAGCTCCCCTTCCCCCAAGGGTGGCATGGATGGAACAGAGCCCATTGGGGGTGGGAGGAGGGAGAGGCAGATGTGGGATGGTGGCTGCAGGCTTGGGGCTCCCTGCCCTGCTGCCCTCCCCTCAGGGGCATCCATGGCCCAGCAGGTGGGACCCAGTGCAGCAGAGCAGGATGGGGCAGGGAGACTTGGTGCCACTGCTGGGAGCCCCATGCAGTAGCAGGGGCACAATTCTATACCACCACTCCTGCTGGTGTCAGGTAGGCAGGGGGCACCTTGCCATAGTGGTGTGGGGTTCCTGGTGGAGGCACTGAGCTTCTCTGTCCCATCCCATTGCCATGTCCCACCTACTGGGCCACAGAGGCCCCTAGGGGGAGGTTAGCAGGGCAGGGAGCCCTGAGCCTTGAGCTGCCAGCCTACATCTGCCCACCACCCCCAGTTCCACTTCAGCCATCCCACCCATGGGGGAGGGGGAGCCTGGCTCCAGGCTCTGCTCTGGCCACAGCAGCCACCACCTCCCATGGGTGGCAGCCAGGGATCAGGCACTGGTGGTGGGGAGGGGGGAATGGGGCTTGCAGAGCTAGGTCCTTGGCCCACACCTGCCCCTGCTGTGCACACAAATCAGGGGGGCACATGCCTCCCATGACCCTCCTGGGAGTATGTGTAGTGGTGGGGAGCCCCATCCCTGTCACCCCCTGGATGAACCACCAATGGCTCCATCCCTCTCCCTGCCTGGGCTGTGCAACTGCACATTCCCACTCAGGCCCAAAGCCCCAGGTCCTATGCACCACCCTGGTTGGGCAGTGCCCCCAGCCCCAGCCCTGCCCAACTCCCTCCCTCCCTCACTATTGGGGCCTCAGTTCCCACCCCCCCCACACACACACACACACTATACTGACCTGTAGGGAGCTGTGGGAGCTGCTGTCATGCTGCTGCCTGGCTGCCACATGCATGTGTACATGTGCCTGGTCACCCTCCTCCCACTCCCCCCATACCTTGCAGGCTGGAACTCTGGTAGATTGCAAGGGGAAATCCACCATTTCCTGTGTTTTTCTCCTTTAAAGGAGAAAACCTGTATTTTAAAAGAGGAAAATCTGCATTTTACCATATTTTTTTATAACGAATGGAAAATCACATCCCTAGTGATTAGGAACAGTCAGCATGGATTCACTAAAGGCAAGTCATGTCTGACCAACCTGATTGCCTTGTATTATGAAATGGCTGGCTCTGTGGATGCAGGGAGAGCAGTGAATGTGATATACCATGACTTTAGCAAGGCTCTTGATACGGTCTCCAACAACATTCTTGCATGCAAGCTAAGGAAGTACAGGTTGAATGAATGAATGGACTGTAAAGTGGATAGAAAACTGACTGGATTGAGCCAGTCTCAAAGAGAAGTAATCAATAGGCTGATGTCTAGTTGGCAGCCAGAACCTAATGGAGTGCCCCTGGTTGTCAGTGCTGGGGCCAGTTTTGTTCAGTATCTTCATCAGTGATCTGGAAAATGGTATGGAGTGTACCTTTAGCAAGTTTACAGATGACACTAAGCTGCTGAGAGTAGTAGATATGCTGAAGGGTAGAGCTAGGATTCAAAGAGACCTGCACAAATTGGAGGAAAGAAATTGACTGAAAAAAATCTCAGGAGGGTTAGTAAGTACAATTGTAAAGTCCTGCACTTAGGGTGGAACAAACCTTTACACTGGTAGAGGTTGGTTAAACAGTAGCTATGCAAAAAGGGAGCTGGGGGTTACAGAGGACAATAAGCTGAATATGAGCCAACAGTGTGCCCTCGTTGTGAAGAAGGCTAACAGAATACTGGGTTACATTAGTGAGATTGTTTCCAACAGATCAAGGGAAGTAATTATTAGTTTCTATTTGGCTCTGGTGAGGCAACATCTGGGGTACTGTGCCCAATTTGGGCCACCCACTACAGAAAAGATGTGGCCAACTCAGAGAGGGCCCAAAGAAAGGCAACGAAAATTGTTAGAGGAGCTGGGCACATGACTAATGAGGAGAGGTTGAGGGAACTGGCCTTATTTAGTCTGGAAAAAAACAGACTGAGGGCAGATTTAATTACAGCCTTTAACTACATGAAGGGTGGTAACAGAGAGGATGGAACTAGACCGTTCTAACTGGTGGCAGGCAACAGAACAAGGAGCAATGATGTCAAGTTGCAGCAAGGGACTTGTAGGTTAGGTATTAGGAAAAACTTTCTCACTAGGAAGATAGTAAAGCACTGGAACAAGTTACCCAGAGAAGTTGTGGAATCTCCATTTGTAGAGGGTTTTCAGAGCTGAGTAGACAAAGCCTTGGGTCGGATGATCCAGTTGGGGATGGTCATGCTTTGAGCAGGGGGTTGAACTAGGTGAGGTTCTGAGGTCCCTTCCAGCCCTAATTTTCTATGGTTCTATGTTCTTAAAGAGAACCTGGATAAAGAAAATTCTAGGCTGAACCATAGACCTTGGCTTCTGATATATTTCTGGAGTTCAAGGTACTGTCTTAGTGTACAAAGCACTCAACCATTTTATTACCCAAGGATCCATCTTGTTATTCTGTTACACATAGACACAGCAGAGATGCATAAGAAGATCAATATAAACCAAGGGAAAGTGAAGACAAGCAAAGACTTGGAAACGTATTCCTCAGGAATATGTCTTGACCTTGAGAATTGCTGTATCCTTCTTCGTTCCTTCAGAGCTTGAAAAATAATCACCTTCTGTGCTGAAAAGTCCATCTTCTGTGACATACATTTAGGGGCCCAGTCTATCCCTTTTAGTACAGCAGTTGAAATATGCTAAAGTCAGGTTCTAAAAGAAGCAGGAGAGGCTGGAGATTGATGAGTGACTCAGTAAAATCTCATGGCATATCTGTATTAAATGTTTGTTGGTGTTGTAGTGTTGTAGCTGCTACTGCCATGGCTATTTTGTGTTAAAGGATATTGCAAAACAAATACTACTTGATCAGTTACATAGTTGCTTTCAGGTGCAAAATGTATTTCCTCAGTGACATGAAGTTAGATAGTTGGTCCAGTAAAAGATGTTACAAAAAATACTCTAGTCTGTGGTAGGGTTGCCCTCCACCCGTCCTTTTTTTTTTTTATATGAGTATCTATTAGTTGATGTTTGTGCAATTAGAAATATGAAGCTAAATGCATCTATCAATGCATCCATTTTAGACTTTATGTTTTCATTATGTGCTTTTGACTTTCTTTTTTTGAGAGCATTCTCTGACTAGGGATAAGCACTAGATCAATTAATATAATGTATTTATATGCAGTGTTCTTTACCATTTATACAAAATAAGTAAAAAATATTCTTTCTGTTTTCAGCGGAACTCTCAGGCTTGCTGTTTATAGGAGATGCAATTCTACAGGTATGGAACACTTGAGCATTTTTCCTTTTTTGTTGTGATTTTTTTTCCTAGAAAGGTAAAGCAATCTCTATTTTATCTTTCTTTTTCCCCTTCCATCACAGATTAATGGAATTAATGTAAGAAAATGCAGGCATGAAGAAGTGGTGAGCTTATATCAATTTTTTAGCCATTGGATTATGGTTATATTTTTCGTTGTTACTCTTTTAAGCAGATGTAGCTTTGCTTCCAAATAACCCTGCCCTTGATTCAGTTTCTTCTTCATAGATTTGGTTTGCTGCCTTCAAAGCAGTTCTCCTAGATTAAAGATGGTTATTTTATGACTACGGAGTTTGGATGTAATCGCTCTTTCTGGCCCATCTCCATTAAATTTCAACAGCAATACTGTTTCCTTGCTATATGAGGTCACCTGAACTTAAAAAGCTTTGTCATCTGCTTTAAACTGGGTGGGAAATGTTCCAATAAAGATTGTTTTTCTCTGTCTTCATTCCGTGGTTATCAGCTTTTAAAGAAGTATTTGGTTCCTCTTTAGTTTAACCGATTCTTGTTAGGGAAAGGCAATGCATTAGGGAGACCCCTTCAAAGAAAAACAGTGTTTATTTGAAAGATCTGCCCTATTGTCTATGTAGGGTATCCTTTATACCCTGTTTCCTTAGTTATTTGTAATCTTCTTTGCTTCATCTTAAGTTGTTTATAAAAGTCAGGAGTTTTCTGCTGTAGAAAAAAGTACTCAGGAATGAGAAGATTACAAAGAGGCTATTCCTAAATCCGAATGAGATCCAGGAAATGTATATCCAGACTTTTAAAATTCTATTGCGGTTGCATGCAAAATATTAGCATATAATTCACAAGCAAAGAAGCTATATATTTCTTGGTATTGTGTTATAAGACCTGTTGTTGAAGATTTTCCATTCATATGCAGACAGCATGCTTGACAGAAATTTGAGATGAGGTTATGATGAAACAGATTAGTGGTGTATGAGAGATTTAGACTGTTTTTCAAATGCCACTTCTCAAGTCTCAGGTTCATGTTTGGTTTTTGTATTGGGGATTTTCATTGGAAATGATGTGTCATCTTTCTCAATATGACTGCCTCTTAAAGAGGCTTAATAATAACTCCCTTCTATAAGCTAACAGTCTTATTTCCTGTATTTGCAAGTTTGGCCCTCCAACAATGATCAGATTTTCATTTTCTTAGAAGCTTTGCTGTAGTCATTTTACCTAAGTTAATGTAATAAATCCCTCAATAAGATCAAAATGATTTTTTGGAATTTCTGGAATGGAAAAAATAGGCTAGTAAAAAGCATATTTATGCCTGCACAAAAGAGTTATTCAGAATAATGGTGATATAATGTCAGTTATTATTTCTGTTGACACAACGATCTAAGTAGAGTTTCAGAAGCAACTTATGCTGAGTTGTCAAACAAATTTATATGAATGTTAATGTGTTGGGTCCTAACTTAATTTTAAAGTCCCCAAATTTTTTTTGTTCTGAAAACATGTTTGCAAACTCAGGTGGGAACTGGTGGGCAGAGCAAGCCACAGGCTGCAGAGGGCATATGTCACTTCAGCAGCTGGAGGTTTCCTTGCCAGGGAGTGGGGAAGAGGTCAGGGGCAATGCCCACCGTACGACAAAGGAAAGCAGGTGTTGAGCTCAGCAGTACTGTGCTTGGGAGTGGGGCAGCAGGTTGACATCCTGGTAGCACAGCAATTTCCCCCCTGCATGCTGTGTGCTGGGCCTGCTGAGACCAACCCCATGCCCCACCTTGGCCCTCCCCATTGTTCCCTGCCCTTCTCCCCTCACCCTCTCCCCTGCTCAATGGCCCAAAACTGCAGGGTTTTTATGCCTGCTGGTAAATTTGTTTTAGATTTTTTTTTTATTTTTTTTTTTTGCAGCAAGCTGCTGCTTAAGGATGCAGCTTAATTACCCATATTAAGCATGGGAAGTCATTAATTCACACTTAATAATGCATGGATTAGTGATGTCCCCAGCCTTAATCAGGGTAACTAAGCCATGGTTTTGGGCCATCTGGCAATCTGCAGAGAAGGGCGGGATGCTGGGTCCCCCTAGCCTATCAGACGTGTGGGTGGGGCCTGCTATGCTGAGCCCACAAAAATGGCAACCAGGTCCAGGATTTGCCCCTGAAATTGGCTGGCTGCCTCCTCAAGTTTGGTAGGCCCCTGCCAATTGCCTATGCAATATGTAAGATTTTGGATATAATATTGCAGTCCTGATCAGTATGTCTTAGTATCCTGTAAAAGACTTACGAAGACCTAACCTATAAAAGATCTTACATAAAATGACAACCCCCCCCACACACACACACAGACATGCATACACATAGACACCAAACCTCCATTATCTTCAGGGATGTGTCGACCACAAGTCCAACCTGTAAAATGCAGGCATGCTTATGGGACAAGAAGCTGCTTTCTTCATGTTTCCCTTCTTTTTTATAATTAATAAAGATTCAGCCTACTTTTGGTTGCAGATACATTTTAAACAAGTGTTACGTGTACATAGTTCAGCAGTGAATAAGTCAGTAACATAATCAGCATAGCTTATTGTATTACAGTGATGATAAATTGGCCTTGGAATCTCATGGAGCTTTACTGATAAATGTACTAGACAAATATTTTTTTTCTATTTAAGTTCTTATTAAACAGTTTAATCAAGTGAGTGTTGCTGTACATAGTATGGACTAATCTGTTCCTACTTCTTTAGTGGTGAATTTTGGTGGCTTGACAACCTTGGAGATTAAAATTATCCATTTATGAATATAGACGGCACAATATGTAGTGGTGCAAAGTTCATACTGAGCAAATAACATAAGCACTGGAAAATCGATGCTTGAGGAGGACAGGTAAAATTGTCTAGTAGTTAGCCCTGTAGCCTATGACTTGAGAGACCTGTATTTAGGTTTTTGCTCTGGCACAGACTTACTGTTGTATATCATGGGAAAGTTATTTACTCTGCTCCAGTTCTCCTCCTGTAGCATTTGTCTGATTCACAAAGAAATTATAAGGATAAATATATTAAAGATTGTGAGGTATTCAGGTGATATAGTGTCAGGCCATATTAAAACTTAAGATAAACAGGTTCACAATACAGTTTGGGAGGTTCGCTCAAGAATACCCTGCAGAATGATCATTAGAAAGCCCTCCAGCAAGGTTGGAAATACAGCTCCAAACCCTCAGTCTAAGTCAAAGAGAGAGAAGTCTTGAACTTGGGGCTCCCAGCTCCTTTTAATTCATTTCTGAATTTAGCCATTTTCTTTTATGCAAAAGAACCCCCGAACACGTGTGTCCTAATCCGAACTGCCACTGAACTCTTACTATGTTACAGTGGAGTAGCCATTCAGCCTTTCCATACTTCTCTTTCCTTACCTCTGTAGATGCTGTGAACTTCAAAAAATGCTTCTAAAGATTTAGTTGCTAGAATAATATGATGCTACCTAAGTGCAAACTGTCATTATTCAAATACATGCCTTGGAAAGCATCTGTGGAATTCAATATCTGAGTAAATCTAACACAAAAGTAAATGAGAACACAATCAGATGCATAGATAATGCGTCTACATGTTAATTTGCTGTGGCACCAGTTTACTTGCTAGTAAATTACTTGCATGTAAACAGTGATGGACAAGTGTCTACACATGCAGGGAAGTGGGACAAGATTTGCTGACAATCTGCTCCCACTTCCTGGAGCCCTGCAGTAGGCTCCTGCTACCACAGGAGAAAGCTCCAGTCTCCACCTGCAGCTGCCAGCAGCTGCCAGCCCTCTTCAAAAGGCAGCTCCACTCTCTGCTCTCTGGCTAGCAACTTCCCTGGCCAGAAGCAGCATGCCCAGTGCAGGCACAGCATATGGCAGCACTCTCCTCACTGCCTGTGCCTCCCTGTGCTATGGCTGTTCCAGCTAATGCCCTTGGCAGTAACAACCAGTGCCCTGGGCTCCAGCTGGCCCACTGTGCTGACCACCACCTGGCCCATGGCCATCTGGCACCTCCCAGCACCCCCCATGCAATGACCACCTGCCAGGCTACCACATGCTGTCCCAGGGCCACTGCTTTCTCAACCCTGTCTGCCTGGCTGGACCCTGGCAGGGATGCCAATGATGGGCTCCAGGATGCCACCACTGGGGCTGCCATCACTCTCCTGGGCCTCCAGCCCACTGACTTTGGGCCTGTTGGGCCAGTCAGTACTAGTGGCAACATGTTTTCCAGCACACCTAGGATGACTAGCAGTGGCTGGCGGGCTTCAGGATGACTCAGGCCATCTTCTGGGAGCTCCTGGAGTGACTTCACTCAAATCTGAAGCAGCAGGGCACCAGCATGCAGCTGCCCCTCCCTGCAGACAGCCACCTGGCCCTAGCCCTGCTCGAGATGCCTATGCTTGCAGTCTGCAGTATGTTGGCCACCTGTTTGGTATGGGCAAGGCCACCTCTGGGGAGGCCATCCTGGTGGTATGTGGTGCCCTCCAGGATGTGCTGGGGGACACCTTGCTATATATATATGACTACCTGGTGGTGGTGGTGGTGGGGTTTCATGCCCTAGAATTCCCCTAGTGTAGTTTATGGGACACACATCTCCATCACCTGCCTGCCCCATGGAGACCACCCCTATTACAGCCAGAGGGGCTTTCACTCTGTAGTGCTTCAGTCCATTGTGGACCACCATGGGGCCTTTACACACGTGAGCACCAGCTGGGTGGGGAGGAACCAAGATATCTGCATCTAGAGGAACCCCAGCCTCATGGGCCTGGTGGAGAGTGGGCACTTTGCACCTGCAACTGTGTGCCATGGTCATCCCATCCCTCCCCATCAGGGCCCCCACCTACCTCCTCCTGCCCTGGCTCATGCAGCCCTACACTGGCCACCTGGCAGTCTAAGTTTAACTGCTGTCTGGGCCAGCCCTGCGCCCTGGTGGAGTGTGGCTTCAGCTGCCTCAAAGAATGCTGTTGCACCCTAGCCATTGGCCTCAAGTTTGCCAAGGACAACCTCTCCTGGGTCATCATTGTGCCATGTGACCCATTCTGTGAGACATAACATCCATGAAGCCCAGGGGGAGCTATTCCATGAGACTTGGGCAAAGGAGGCACAGTGCACTGAGGACACCTGGAAGTGGGAGTACCACCTGTGGCAACAGTGG